CAACAAAAAGTTTAAGATATTAGACGCTTCACAGATGTCATTGATAAACAAAATAAAAAGCAAAGGTCCTAAAACGGACCCTTGTGGGACTCCACATGTGACCTTTTTGTAATGTGAATTCACCCCCTTGATATGCACATATTGTTCACGGTTAGAAATATAACTTTGAAGCCATTGGTGTACTGGCCCCCTGATTCCATAGCTATATAATTTGGACAGTAGCAACTCATGATTTACGGTATCAAATGCCTTGCGTAAGTTAATAAATACTCCGACTGTATATTCTCTTCTTTCCGTAGCAGCTGTTATTTTTTCAACCAATTCAATAAGTGCTGGGCTTGTAGATCTTTGTGTCCTGAACCCATACTGTTTTTCACTGATTAAGTTATGTTTATCTAAGAAGTGTGTAAGTCTATGAGAGAACCATTTCTCCAGGACTTTGGAAAACTGAGAGAGCAGCGACACTGGTCTGTAGTTGTTAAATGTATGTTCATCCCCATTTTTGAAAAGCGGGATTACTTTGGCGACTTTCATTTGATCCGGAAAAACACCAGTTTGTATAGACAGATTACAGATAAATGTCAAAGGTTTGATAATGCAGTCGATAGTTCTTTTTATAATGAACATGTCGAGTCCATCACTGTCTGTGGAAGTTTTACTTTTACACTTATTTACAATAGATAAAATTTCGTTTTCAAAGACCTCTCCCAGAAATATAGACTGCATTATTCTGCTCCCCATCTCAGATGTTCCCCTTTGATTCGATCCGTCCATACTCTTGGCTATATTAGCTCCTATATTAGTAAAAAACAAGTTAAATTCATCAGCAATCTTTCTTTTATCATTATGAACAATATCATCCTCAATGAAGTAATCAGGTATGATTTTTTGTTTGGAGTTGGGTCTGATGGCTCTGTTTAGTACATTCCAAGTCGCCTTCATGTTCCCATGATTTTCTCTCAGTTTTCTGTTATAGTAATCCTTCTCAGCATTTCTCATAATGGTAGTTAATTTGTTTTTGTATAGTTTGTATTTTTTTTTGTTATCAGTATTCCAGTTTTTAACAATTTTTATACATTTTATTTTTCTTATGACATGCTCTTATTATTCCTCTTGTAAACCAGGGTTTATCAGTTCTAGTAATTTTTTTGGATTGCTTCAATGGACACCAAATATTATATAGTGATATAAAAGTATTTAAAAAGGAATAATAAGCTTCATTCACATCACCCACATAGACTCCAGACCAGTGTTGCTTGAGAAGTTAGTTTCTAAATTGTTGGATATTAATTTCTGTTCTGACTCTGCAGTATGTAGAGTAATTCAGCTTTTCATATTTTCTAGGCTGCAGGTCATAGATGGTAAAAACAGGCAGGTGATCGCTAATGTCATTAATCAACAAGCCACTTGATATAAAGTGGTCTGCATTATTTGTGTTAATATTGTCGATCAATGTAGCACAGGATGTGGTGATTCTACTTGGATGTGAAATCAGAGGGAACAGAGAGCGTGAACATAGAGCACTTAAGAAATCAGAAGTTGCTCTACAATTTCGTGAATTAAGAAAATCAATATTAAAGTCTCAGCCGATCAAAAGGGTTTTTTGGTTATCCTGTGCGTCTAATATTTTTTCAAAATTGAACTGAAAATCATCCACTTTCGAGCTTTGTGCTCTATACACGCATGCAGCTATCACGTTCCTGCTTTTCAACATCTCAATTTCTACAGCCACACTTTCCATAATTCCTTCAATAGCCATAGTCATTGGTTCGACAACTTTGCAATTCAAGATATTGTCAACATACAACACCACACCACCCCCCCTCCTTCCAGGGCGATTTGTGTAGTGTATTGTGTATCCTTCTATTTCAAAATCAGAAACATTCTCATCGCGAAGCCAAGTTTCAGAAAGCGCTATTATTTTAAAACGATACTTAAGTGAATACAAATAATCTTTCATCCTAATAAAATTAGCATAAAGGCTTCAAATATTGAAGTGAATAAATGAAACACCATTTATTGAATTGCTAGTTGATGTAAACTCGTCATCTGTGTAATATTTACAAGTATGGCTTACATTACTCAGTAAATTACTCTCCGGGTCCAGATCCACATCAAAATCATGTGATCTATGCTTGGTCATTACTGCGTTTAATTTGGCACAATATGCAACAAAGCAGAGTTCGGTAGAAAATGGATAAACTAACTAAGTGTAAGACAAGAAAACAAGACATTGGTGACCACCAGATTCCCCTCCCGCTCTTCCCCAACCCCCCTCCCTCCCATTCATAAAGTAAAATAACGTTCATCGTGGGGTAAACATATTAACCCTCTCCCCATACAAGTTACAATATAGCTGTGAATTCTTAAATATGGGAAAAAATATTTAGTCATATTAGAATCCATGCACAAAGGCTGCATCGGCTGTCGTGTTCAGTTCTTACCAGAGATGTACCATGAATGTATCACTTGTCCAATGACGATATGAAGCTTTCTGCCTGGCTTGGCTCATCAAAGGTATGGTGCGCATTTCCTTTGGATAGCTTGATCGTCGCTGGATACAGGAGGAAGGCCTGGAATCCTTTTACGCGCGCCTCATGCATAACTTTGTAGCACACTTTACGCCGCTTGGCGGTGGCCTCACTGTAATCCGCTGCAAACTTGAGTTGGATCTTGTCCACCTCTGGAGGATGTTTCCTAGACTCTTGGAGAATGCGATCCCTGTCCGTGTATCGTAGGCATTTGACAATCAGAGGGCGAGGGCGGCGAGGCCCGCCGTCGGCCCGAGGCTCCATTTTGAGGCGCCCAAGCCGGTGACATCTCATCAGCTCGGGGCAAACGTCGGCAAAGGCTGGGAACCATTTGGGAATGATCGCCGTTATGTAGCTCAGAGCATTTGTGCCCTCCGCTTCTTCTTTCAAGTTGAGTACGAGGAAATTATCTCTGCGAGTACGATCCTCCATCTCGGTGAGTTTTCCTTGCTGTTTACGCATTGTTTCCACGCACATTGATAGTGTCTCTTCCGCGCACGTGACGCGGACCTTTAAGTTGGCTGTATCTGCACGTATTACTTTTATTTCCTCCGTATGTTTAGTTAGAGTTGAATGTAAGCCATCAATCCGCTTCTCCAACCGATTGAGGCGAGCCTCAGCTTTTTCTTCGGCCTCCCCAAAATATTTTGCCATCAGGCTTTCCATGGCTATCACAAGGCTTGCGTTGTTGGGGTCGCTGAGTTGCTTTAGTTCGCTCATAGCGAGTCTTTTGGCTGCACTTGACTGTCTAGTTGAATGCATTGGTAATATATTGCTTTTAAGTAACAAGTGTCCTTGGTTGCATGACGATCAGGCCCCACAATCCTTGGAATTATAGCTTAGCATGGGGAGAGTGTACGTCTGTCTCACCGTGCAGCCGCCATTGATTGATCATTACTTTATTAGCATTTAACAAAAAGTTAACATTCCTACAGTGGATTTTTGTTCGAGCTGCCTGGTTTGGACCCTGAATCGTTTCTGCTCTGGTCGGTATCAGTGTAAAACCATGAACACTACTGCAGTAACATTTACAGGTAAAAAATCCTGAATGATAAGTTGTTATACTGACTTAAAATGAAGCCGGATTATCTCTTGGCGACATTAAGAATTGTAGATCAAACAAAATGTATTCTAAAATAATGATCAATGTTTTAGTATCTTACTGCTTTTTGAAGTGGTGAAAAAATATATATTGGATCAGTTCATTGCCGCAAACAGGCTTATTAGCTCTCGTCATTTCCTTTCCCTTTAGAATTTAGAATAATTGAAATTACAATTTTTGGTGGAAGCAATGTTATAAAGCAGTTATAGCCTAAGACGCCGTTTTATTTAAGACATGTCCAGGTTGTGCTTTGACACCTGTTTTTATAGACAGAATTTCTAGGGGCCAGAAATTACTCTCTCATTATGACTCTCATTATGTTAAAAGGTCAAATGTTTTCTAGAAAGACAAAGACAGCAGGACTCCAGTTTTAAACCATTAAAATTTGAACTACTAAATTGTGAGGGCTAGATTCTCCCGCAACCGTGGTCCAATCCGAGCAGATTTACAGTTCCAGTTTCCCCAGAGAAATATTTATGCAGAAACACATTCAAAAAAGGTACTGTGCCGCCTGTAAACTCAAAATTATCTTTGTGTCTGATAAATTGCAGGACCAAGACCTTTTAATATATTCCAGTGAAAATAAATTGTTGCAAACTTTAAATTTTCAAACCTTTTTATCAAGGCTTTAACTCTTACATCCTGAGTCCTGGATCCTGAGTCCTGGATCCTGAGTCCTGGATCCTGAGTCCTGGATCCTGAGTCCTGGATCCTGAGTCCTGAGTCCTGAATTTCTCTCTCAAGATGGGCCTCTGAGTTTTTCCCTCACTATGGATCAATGGCTCCTTTGTGTTTGCCTTAATAATACATTACATTTATTATGGTGCCATTCTGGGCACTAGAGGTTGCCCTTTAAAAAAAAAAAAAAAAAAAAAAAAAGGCAAAAAAAGTGGCATAAGGTAAAAAAGAAAATGACAGTGAAATGTAGGTCAGTCTGAATAGTTGTGTTTTGAGTATGCCAGTGTTGCAGATGTATTACTACAATCTGCACTATTACTGCATATCCTCTCTTTGAACTGTTTGATTCTCTGATCTGCTGTTGCCGAATCCACGGTTTTGTAAAGTCCTCCGTAATAACTACCGTCGTGATTTAGGGCTGCACAAGAATAAATAGAATCAACATTTCTAACATTAATAGATAGAACAAACAAATGCATTGATGTAGTTTTTCCATTGTTTACAATTTATTCATAGACATCTTTGTACACAGAAAACAGACATGGTATAATTTAACTGAAGTCGTGAATGCTCGTCACCGTGATTGGATTTGGAGAGTCCCAATGAAGTATAAAAACGTGACGTGTTTTGATGGCGGCGGCGGCAGAGAAACGGAGGTTGTAGTCGTTCCTGAGTTAGTTTTTCCTATTTTAGTTTTTCCTGGGCTGCGCCGCCATGTACAGAGCCATCAGAGTGTAGAGAACGCCCCCTACTGTCAGAGCCATGGTGGTGCGGTAGAGGAGCTTGTCCGCGTAGCCGCCCTTTAGATGGACTGGTGTGCCGTCCGACTTCTGGAAATACAAACAAAAAAGAAAATTGGTCCAAAAGTCAAAACTTTGAGTTAAACCGAACACAAGGATTTAAACGTCATCGCAGTGATTGAAAAGTGTGAGACCCCAAAGTACATAGACTGTATACATATGGACAACGCTAGCGACCATCATAGCAACGGTCTGCCCCGGTTACAGCATGAAGATAAGGCCTACATAAAAAGGTCAAGTAATTGGCTCTCTATGTTCGAATCAGCCTCTTCAGCATTAAAGCGAACACTATGTTGACGTTAGAACTCTGCCAGCCCACTCTGATCCACATCTGATACTGTTCCCTGTGCTCTTAAATGCATGTGCTGGCCTTGTCTCATTAGAATCCGGTTTACATGGTTTGGATGCCTGGATTGATTTCAAAAATCAATCCAGTTACGCAGAGTTGCCGCACTCTGGTTTACACGAGTCGTCGAAATAGAGTTTTTCTACATTTTTGGTTGTCACTAGTGCCTTGTGATTGCACTCTGTGTGAAGCGAATTATGGATTTCACTGCAGTTATGTCAAGCTGTCAGGTCAATGTCTCACAGCGTTTGACACAAAATGGATTCACTAGGATCCTTTTCTACTTAGGTTTTAGATGTTGCATTTTTTTATCCAGGTATTTGAGTTTTCCGTTATTAGCTTTACAGGTATGTTTATATGGTTACATTTTGGGCATAGTTTTTGTATATTTCGATTGGATCTAGACGTCCCTTTATAGACTGTTGGACTGTTGTAGGCACTTGTTTTCGGGTTGAGTTTTGGATTAAATTCAATCTAAAAAGGAAACTGAAAAATAAATACTGTCTGTATATGTTTGTTCATCAGGTCAAAACAATCTGCCATCTTAGTACCATCTTAGTACCAAACGCCAGCGTTGGCCTTTGAGCCAGAAGGTCGTGGGTTCAAGCCCCGCTCAAGACTTTCACCATCGACTCCCACTGACTACTGTCATTGTGTCCTTGGCAAGACACTTAACCTCTGGGAACACCAGCCACAGTGGGGCGGCTGCGGCTGTAAAGTGCCAAACTCCCGTTGTGTCATTAGGCAAGACACTTCACCCCCATTGCCTAGAATGAGTCTGGTGTGTGAGTGAATGGTTGGTGGTGGTCGGAGGGGCCGATGGCGCATACTGGTTGCCTCGCTTCTGTCCGTGTGCCCCAGGGCAGCTGTGGCTACAGTAGTAGTTTATCACCACTGTGTATGGAGTGAATGAATAATGACATGTGAAGCGTCTTTGAGTGTCTAAAAAAGCGCTATACAAAACCGATGCATTATTATTATTATTATTAAGCAAATAATGAGGAAAACAATGTTGAGAATATGGCATTAAACCTGCTCAAAAGCCTTTATTCCTTTTCTTGATACATCTCCGAACATATTTTTAGCTGGATTTTGGTTACAAAAGCCACTTCACACAATCACACGTCTGAAGAGCGAGGAAACCAGAGCTCCCCAACAAAAAAGGGATTTCCCATTCGCTGCAATGGGCTCCGGCGGACAGCAGGGGGCCTCTGCTCGGCGAGAGAACCAATTTGTGGTTTCAGCTCTGAACACGTGACCAGGGCAGGGCAGGTTAGACGTCAAGTGTCTCCAGATTAAAGACAAGGCTATTTTATCATCTTTAGAAATGAATTGGAGAAGCAAGAGAGAAATCACAGCCTGTTTCTATAGCATTAGTTTTGATAAGAACCATTATACAACTTTTAATGTGAAAAAAACTGGTGACATTTTGTATATTGGAACTCTATTTTAACCCAGTCAGTCAGAGAGGTCACCACCAGAAAACAAACAAAACAATTGATCCTGGCGCACTGTCCCATTCACCAATGGAGGGAGTAAAGCTAGAAAGTCCAAGAACTCTAAAAACTTCCCGTATCAAAAAAAATTATGTATTGCGCAAAAATGTATGTGTGTTTGTGCATCCCCTTGCGTCGTCCCTCTCTACTGTTCACATAAACAAACTACAGGTAATTGTCAAAATTCTTTCCGGCGCCCTTGGAAATACACAATCACAATAGTCCAGCAGTTACGGCCGATGACACCGTATAAATCAGGGGTGGGGAACCTCAGTGTGCCTCACGATACGATGTGTGAAACAAAGCACACAATGACGATTATCTCATGATATAACGATGCAGCGATTATTGATATATTGGTCAAAAATATACCTACAATATTATTTCTTATCTTTATGGAAAAAATGAAGTGAAAAAAATACACTTTATTTCAAGATAAATGGATAAAGAGCAGGCAAAAATGCACGTTAACCTGCACATTTTAGTAAAAATCTTACTTAATTCGTCTCACATACAATAAAATCAACATGAACATTCTACAGAAATTGTAGAATGCGTAATATAGCCATATATTAAGTATCAATACTCAAATAAAGCTTAAAAAAAAAAACAATACTGAGCAAAAGCATATTGATTGTGTGAGAAAGTATCACGATATATCACCATATCGATATATTGTCACACTCCTAGTTTAAAAGTGCTGAAAGTGCTTTGTGAAAGGCGCTATATAACTTCTTACAGCTACAGGGTCACTATAAGATGAAATATGATCAAATATGGTCAAGAAGTCACTTTATTCACATACAGTTGCATAGTGCCCTTTTACACACAATAAAACCATTTAACTGAAAAGTTTACTGCGAGTTTGGATTGTTTCCTACATTGCACAAGATTTAAAACCCCAGCTGTGATCAATAGTCTAGTCTAGTGAAATATATCAGTCACTTTTTATCGTGACAAGCTTTCAAAAACAACATTTAGAAAATCAGATCAAAAACTAAAAAGTCTTAAATTGAAATTATGCTGTGCCAAAAAAACTAAGAATGAAAAAAAAAATACTCAGCTTCCTAGATCGCTCCAGCCGTATTTCAATTAGAGGCATCCTTTTTAGCAAATAATAATGACATTAAAGCGAGAGTCCTTGGGTCCCACAGTCGTTAATGAAGACCAGTGATTAGCCGTGCGTTTCCAAAGCTCATCCGTCGTCCCCAGATTCTCCGGAGACTTGATTTATCACGGTAGAAAAAGCCTGTTCTGCGGGCCACAATTTCTCCTCAAATTAAGGGTTTTGGATGGAGCAATCTGTGGCTCGCTAATGGGTACATGGTGGTGTGTTTTAATCTCCGCTGCCAGTTTTAGAGGCGGAGACGAGTCACAACCAGAGTATTTAATGTGGTAATTACGCCGCGCAATGCTAACTCCAAAGTGTTTTTACTTTTAAGCCATTTCCATTTAGTTTCAGTATTATTTGATGCAATGACAACACAGAAAAATATATAATATATGCATAATATATAGCATCATTTCTGTTCATCCTGATGGGAAAAAATCTTGAGAATATTTACTTTGGAAAGATCATGTTTTAGAAAGTGAGTCTTAACTTTATTGACTCTTATTCATCCTGGAAATATCTCATACTCATTTTTCAGGCGATTGTTGGCCCCAGAGAGAGCTACTGTACATGTTTTTAGAGGTAGAGGAACTGGAGCACCTGGAGTAAACCTATGCAGACACAGGGAGAACATGCAAACTATTAACATTTCTAGGTGGTCCATGCGTCCCAGAAATATGACAAAAAAATCAATCTGTAAGGCAGTCAACACTACTGATCATTCTACACTTGTTTTTTGTTCAATCCACTCAAAAACATATGAAGAACATCAAAACTCATTATAAATGAAATTAATTGCTCAAAATTACTTCAAAACAATAAACAAAAACAGAAAGAAAGCACTGTATACATTTTGGCTCCACGTTTCCCTCTCCTCTTCAACAAAGCAAATATGTTTTTCCAAATTGAATTAAACTGACCACATGAAACCAGGTCTGGCCCTCCACAATGGGGGCCCCTTGGAGAAAATAATTGCCCCCCCCCCCGGTCAATGTACGCTGTTGTATGGATGCGTGTTCCTTGACGTGAAGCCCTTTGAATGGCTTTACAAAGAAAAGCACTATTCGCTACTTAAATGCAATACCATAATGCTTTGCAGCTTGGGGGGTAGCTGTTTTTAACATCACTGGTTTTATTCAGCGTGAGACCTCTGTGAGAACCGTGAGGAAGCGACATCTAACCCCTGAAGTGGCTGCAAATTTTATCGACATCCTAAACAACACTCCCCACTTGGTTTTACCTGCCCCCTGTGATTTTATAGCAAATGATTTTAACAGTAGACTTAGTTCCGCATTGGATCAAGTCGCTCCTTTAAAAACAAAAATCATAAAAACAAAATCTGTACCCCCATGGAGAAATGAGGAAGTACGGAAAATGAAACGAGAGTGCAGGGTGGCAGAACGAAGGTGGAGGAAAGATAAAATAACAATCAACTACGAACTATATAAAAGCAATCAAAAAGCATACAATAACACAATTAGAAATCATAAGAACAAATACTTTGCAAAGCTAATCACCCAAAATAAAAATAACCCAAAGGTCCTCTTTTCAACCATCGACACCATTTTAAACCCTGATTTTAGCATGTCTCTTTTAACCCCCACAGACTCCCTCTGTGAAAATTTTGCAGCCCACTTCACAGGGAAGATAAACACAATCAGATGTAACATTTTATCCAACCGCACAACTGTTTTTAACACATCTGATTGTTTGTCTTCACCAGAGGAAACACTGGACAGTTTTGTCCTGGTTGATGCTGAGATGCTTGATAAAGTTTTCTCCTCAGTGAGGCCCACCACATGTCTTTTAGATCCAGTCCCCACTCCATTTTTTAAGTCATTTTATGAATCTTTTAGAGAGGAGCTTTTAAACCTGATGAATTGCTCTCTGCAGACTGGGGTCTTTCCTGCAGCCTTCAAAGCGGCTGTGGTGAGACCCCTTCTGAAGAAGAGCAATTTAGATTTTAATGATTTTAACAACTACAGACCGGTAATCCAACCTGCCATTTTTAAGCAAAATTTTAGAAAAACTTGTTTTTACCCAGCTCAATGCCTTCTTAGATCAGCAACAAATTTTAGAGAAATTTCAATCAGGTTTTAGGGTGAACCACAGCACAGAGACTGCTCTTTTAAAGATTTTAAATGATTTTAGACTAAGTTATGATTCTAAAAAGGTGACCGTGTTGGTTCTACTGGATCTAAGCGCTGCCTTTGATACAGTAGACCACATCATTCTTTTATCCCGCCTGAAACACCTCGGCCTCTCTGGTGCTGTCCACAAATGGTTCACTTCTTATTTAACAGACAGATCCTGCATGGTAAGTTTGGATACCTGCTCCTCTCAGGTCCATAAAATCACATGTGGTGTGCCCCAGGGTTCCATTTTAGGTCCAGTCCTTTTTAACCTGTACATGCTCCCTCTTGGCGGTGTCGTCAGGAGACATGGAATTAACTTCCACAGTTATGCAGATGATACTCAGCTGTACATCTCCGTGTCTCCTGACGACACCAGGCCAATGGATGCTCTTTTTAACTGCATTTTAGACCTGAAATCCTGGATGGCAGAAAACTTTCTCCAGCTCAACCAGGACAAAACTGAGGTTTTAGTCATCGGTCCTGAGGCCCAGAGAGAGAAACTTTTATCAAAACTCCAATCACACTCTTTTAATCCATCATCACAAGTGAGAAACCTGGGCGTAATCTTTGACTCTGAGCTGACTTTTATTCCTCACATCAAGAACATCACAAAAATAGGTTTTTATCATCTAAAGAACATCGCCAGAGTCCGCCCCATTCTCTCTCGGGGCAACACGGAGACGCTGATGCATGCTTTTATAACCAGTCGCATTGACTACTGTAATGCCCTGCTCTCTGGTCTTCCCAAAAAGAACATTTCAGGTTTACAATTACTCCAAAACTCGGCCGCACGTGTCCTGACTAAGACCAGGGGGCGGGACCACATTACACCGGTTTTAAAATCGCTGCATTGGCTCCCCGTGTGTTTCAGGATCGATTTTAAGGTTCTTTTAATGGTTTTTAAATGTCTTAATGGTCTTGGGCCTTCTTATCTTTCAGATTTGCTTTTATCCTATGAACCTTCCCGGCCCCTGCGCTCCTCCGGCAGCAGACTTCTAACCATCCCCAAAGTCAGGACACACACTCACGGTGAGGCATCTTTCCAGCACTACGGCCCCCGTCTCTGGAACAGTCTGCCGGAGGAGCTCAGGGCCGCAGAGAACGTTCATATTTTTAAAAGCAGGCTCAAGACGCACCTTTTTAGATTAGCTTTTGATTAGTTACTATTTCATTTTATATATTCTATTTATCCTCTATTATTTATTGTATTGCTATTGCTTTTATTCATGTATTGTGTGTTAGTTCATTTTAGTTTCATTTTAGTTTCACATTTTTGTGTTTTACATATTGTATTGTTATTGTATTGTTTTTAGTGTACCCAGTGTTTCCTCTGGAGGAGCCCTCTGCACTGGGAGCAGTGGTCGGTGTGGCTGTGGGGGTCGGACTCTTGGACCTGGTGGGGGCCTGGGGCCTCGGTTTCGGGTCTCCTCTAGATCCTGTGTCGTCCCCTGTGGCTACAGGCGGCTCTCTGCTCCTGGTGCAGACGGCTCCTAGGATGACGCTTTTTCAACTGGTTGCATCCGAACCCTGCCAAGTCTCTCATCATTGTTTTACTGTTTTACTTGTGTGTGTGTGTGTGTGTGTGTGTGTGTGTGTGTCAGAGAGTGTGCATGGGAGCGTGTGTGTGTTTGTCTGTGGTTTGGGATGGGTCTGTTGGGTGGTCGGGGGGAGGGGACATGGGCCGGCGGGATTGTTTTTAACCAAACTGTAAAGCACTTTGTGTTGCATCTTTTGTATGAAAAGCGCTTCATAAATAAAATTTGATTTGATTTGTAGGTAGCGAGGTGTAGATGACAGATTTATTATTGCTGTTGCTTTGATCGAGAGTAAAGCAACTGCCAAAGAATGAGACGACGACTTTTGTTCTGCTCCTTATGGATCATTAGAAAACCCAGAACTACAATTTACGCGGAATACCAGGAGATGGTCAGCGAATTCTATGGAAGAGCTTTTCTACAGACCACACAAACACATACTCAGAGCACTTATGTGGCATCAAGTCCGATCAATCCATCATCCACATCTCACCACCAAGAAAAAAGCATTCTGTGTAATGTGTAAGAAGCAACAATAAATCATGACCATTTATACTCTCGCGGTAGATTTAAATCCAAATGTAATTCACAAACTTCCGACCTCGAAGACAAGCAGTCGTCCATAATTTGACAGGAGAAAGTCACAAATTAGTAGGGCTGGGCGATATGGCTGAAAACTATATCACAATATAAGTAATTCATGTCGGTCGATAACGATATATATTGATTGTTTTTTATTTATTTTTTTAAACGTAAATAAATAAATTTGTCGTGTCGGCTAACACATGTTAGCAGCCTTGTTTACAGTCACGGGGGAATGAGGCTGGAGCCAAATGTTCACAAGCAGTCTCCCCCACTTTAGTCCTGGTTTAATCCTCGTTTAGTCCTGGTTTAGCACCTGTTTTCGAGTGTCCTGTGTCCCCGTGGCGGCTCCGGAAAGTTAATCTCTTGTTTTTGCCGAATGCCTTGAGTCTCTGCCTCTCCCGCGCCGCACATGCTGTTCCTCGCATGGACGTGTTTAACCATTGACACGGCACTGAGACACGATCTTTAGATCCAGGGCTATTATAATAGATCCATGATCCATGGACGCTACGCATGGTGCGGTTGTTTTTTTTCATTCCCAGAAAGTTTTGCGGTTTGTAGTCGGCTGTGGTAGGTCGAGAAGTCTCTGCCTACATCCCCCAGAATGCCGCGCGCTTCTGACTCGGCTTTACTTCCTGTGTTTCGTTCCTGTTTTTTCGAACGGAATGAAGTTAAACTATCGAAAGTTCTATCGACCCCGTTCTCTATTGATATCGAACATGTGTCTATTGCGATATATATCGTTATCGTTTTATCGCCCAGTCCTACAAATTAGTATTTAATTGAATGGAACAGTGCAATATTAATGAACAGACATTAAAAACATGAACGTAAACATGCCAGATTTTAGCCAAAGGTCCGTAGTAAGTGGAGGGGGGCCTTCACTTGGGACTCACTTCTCTAGAGACCACAGGAGGCGTGGCCAGTCTGATGAATCTTCCCGAGGTCTAAGCAGTGTTAGCTTCTTCACACTTTGTCTTACTAAAAGAACCTCCTAAGGGTCTGTAGTCGTAGCTGTAGGGTTTCAAGGGGGTATGCAATAGAGGAAAAAACTCCCATTTTTTAAGGCAATTTGTAATGTTTTAAAAAGACAAAACATCTATGCATCCTGAACATATTAGTCAATGTCACGATGTTTAGTTTGGATTTGATAAAGAAGCTATGAAAGGAACCAAACGTTTTCATTAGACTTAGTCCAGAATTACTCGATATTGTAATCAATAATTCCCTTTGACTGACGTATCCAAAATCGATGCAAGAGCGAGACAAGAGATCTACACGTTTAACATCTGCATTTAATTATCTTTACAATCAGATACAGAATGTTCAACAAAAGTGCTCCTATTCTAGGCCTGCTCTTCCCCTGTCCGTGCCCTGTCCTGTCTGACCTCGAAAAACACACACAGGGGCTCATGAGGGAGACTTCCGATGACGTCATCCTTATGCGTCCAAGGGGTGGAGTTTCCGGGTGTGCTGACGTCCCTTGTCCACTGGGAGGCGTCAGAATGCAATTGGTGAATCTCCCAGTCTGCCTCAAGATTCAGGTTCTGAACTCTTGTCCTCGTTAAAATGTTTATTATTTAAAGTTAATAATTCGCCCTGTTTAAACAGCATTTTATCTTTATGACTCATGTCTGATTATCCTGTGTCCTTGGGGTTTTTCCTGAGTGCACGGAGGTCTTTCTGGCTATGATGTTCAAATGGTCAAATATTAAAATATACAACAATATCTTTGTTGCCAATTTATTCCTAATATTAGCATGGATGTGGCTAAAAACAACTCCAAGTCTTTGATGAGAAAACAGTGGCGTAACGTGAATAATATGCACAATACTGTATGTGCCGTTTGAATGATTTAACACGGATATATTTAGCTGTTCTGTACCTGGAATATCCTCTGCAGATCTGGCACCTTGTTGGACCCCAGATACTCCGCCACCGTCCCGGACTCTGACACCACTTTAGTCGGAGACGTGAAGATGATGGGAGGCGGCTCCGTCAGACCCGGCTTCAGCCCCTGCACGAGGAAACAAGGACAACTGGGATCAGGAGAAGCTTTTAAACACGTCATAGATAAAGACTTTCCCAATTATTTTCATTATATCATTTCATCTTTTATTCAGACACACAAAGAGGTCCATATGAAACATTTGAAAAACAGACAAAAACGGAGACAAACATACAATATCTACAAAATTGTGCATAGGGAAGAAAAAAAAAATAGTCGTCTTGGAGCATATTACAAAGTTTGTGATTCTTCAACAACAGATTATATAGGAGCCATTGGTCCATACACAGCAAGATGACGGTTCACAAATGTTCCTTAGACCCTCCTGCATCGGCAAGGAACATGTCAAAATGTGAGAAATCTCAGGGAAGACCAGAAGGAGAGAGAGATCTGCTCCCACAGACGGACAGGCTATAGGTCCAGGACTCAGGCTGTAGAACGAGGACTGAGGTGGCTCCCAGGGGGATGCTTTGCTTTCCAGGTGTAAGAATATAATAACCAACTAGAGCTGCAACTAACGATTATTTTGTAATCGATTAATCTATCGATTATTTTTACGATTAATCGAGTAATCGCTTGGCTGTGAATTGTGTAGAAAAAAAATATTTTTTCATCACAAAAAGCTAAAGTGGCAACACTCGAGGACGTATTGATGGCGTAAACTTAAAGTAAATGTTTGTAACAGGCTCTTTGTGCTAATTCTGCTATTTGATTGGATGAGACAGATATTCATGAAATTATAAAACCAAAGTCGGTTTTAATCAAAAATACTACATTTTCATGTCATTTTTGCTCTGTTTGAGTCCGTGTGAACCAGAAAACGATTAATCGATTACTAAAATAGTTGTCGACTATTTCAATAATCGATTAGTCGTTGATTAATCGATTAGTTGTTTCAGCCCTATAACCAACTTTTACACGTTCAAAAGTCTATTTTGTGCGTCTTGTCCTCTGTGTGGGGTTGTAAACGTGCTGAATCTTGACTCCACAGAACAAGAAAATATACCACGATTGTTCATATCCATCCAGGTTATATTTTTGTCCTAAAGTGTCACCATAGACGAGCGATCAGAGACACTGGGCCTGTCCACACATGAAGCCAATGTCCTCAGACCAAAATCACACCTCTCAAACCCATGGGTGTTTTTACTGAGAAAGGATCAGAGTTTGAAAGAAGACATTAAATCTACAATAAAAAAAAGGACGGGCTGGTTTGTTCACTTTTCCCCTTTTACAAGACTTTCTTCTTTGGACAAACTAAATTCATCATAAACAAAAAGGTTCTCGAGCATTAAGTGGAATATTCAGCCTTTATGAACACTCCACAAATGCATTTCATTCACATGAAAGTCTCCCTCAGATCTATGGAAACACATTTAGTATTGATCGGTGTCTGGGCATGGACTTCTTTTGAAAAACCCTCATGTGGAGGTGGTCATTTTGTGTCATAATTTTGGCGGTTGCTAGGCAGATCTCAAAGACACCAATTTATGAAGCAATATTATTTCACAATCTATTATTGTAGACTGTTCCATCCTGTTAAAAAAAATGCAGGGTCCATACAGGAATCAGGAAAATTTAAATTAGTTTCTGCCATTTTTCAAAACCTGCCCATAGTGCACACCTTATCTCAAAAACCAAAACAGACATAAAAACAATCCCAGGTGATTACTTTACTCCCTGGGGCAGTCTGGTGCTACTTTAAATCACAGTTTAAAAAAGTCGCCAAGCAGATCGAAAAGACAATAATTTAAGCAATATTATTATTTTTTTGATTTAATCTTTGTCTCTTTTCTTATTGTCCGTTTTTGTTTCCTTTGTGTGTCTGAATTGAAGATTCAATAATTTCGTAAACAACCAAATATCCTGCTTAATAATTGATTATGTCCTTCAGGGAGGTTTGTGACAATAGTTTTGCAATTCATTTAACAAACTTCTCTCAAATGTCCACTGTTAGAAAAGTGGATTATAAACTTTTTGGAAACATACATCTAATATGAAACATTCTTTCCGTTAAAACCTAGATTCGTAAATATTTCTTGTTGAATTTGCAAACATAAAAATGCTCCTCTTCAGCCAGTGTTTTGATGTGTCAGATTTAATTTTTTTATTGCTCCCACTCTCCGCCTCCACTTGTGCTAAAATAAGGCAATATTGTGATATATTTTTCTAAACTGCTGTGGGTGAAGCAGCTTCCTCCGGTTCAGCGCATCACAGTCAAAAGCACTTCAAACTCAATCTGAGCCGCCGCCAAATGATCTGGCTGCGAGTGCGTCTCCGGGGACGACGGGGTAAACAAAAACGCAACTTATAATTACAGAAAGTTGCAAGAGTTTAATTTGTTGTGGTTAAACTTGAGGTCTGTAACTTTCTTTCACTTCATACACGATGGTAATAAACTACAACTGTCGCCACAGCTGCCCTGGGGCACACTGACAGAAGCGAACACCACCAGCCATTCACGCACAGAGACTCGTTCTAGCCAATGGGTAATTTTAGCACTTTACAACCTCAGCCTCCTCCCTGTGGCTCCTGGTGTTCCTAGAGGTCTCCCATCACAATACTAACCATGCCCTGCCCAGCATAGCTTCAGAGGTCTGACAGGATTAGAGCTGCAACTAACGACTATTTTAATAATCGATTAATCTGTCGATTATTTCTTCGATTAATCAATTAATCGGATAAAAAAAAGCATTTTTAGTTTCCATCCCGTTATTAAAAACGTGGCCTTGGATCAACACAAAGAAACAAACAAATGTATGCTATGCAGTATAAAGTAAAGTGCACAAAAACAGGTTTTGTTGTTTAACCCAAAGAGCAATTACAGACAAGACGCGTTTGTGTAATTAAGTCATTTTTATACATAAAAAATTATACGTTGTTGAGTGCATATACTCAAAAACGTTTGAAATGTTTATTTCAAAAGGCTGTAACTTAAAAGTGATAAGAGATAATTCTGTAATTTACAGAAAGTCTTTAAGGATGGCCAAAAGTTGTATGTAGGGAATAAGTGTACCCATCTAATTAGCATATTATGACGTCGTATGGCTTTGGAAATTGTGGATTTTAGAATTTTCATAAAATGTGTCGTCCCTGCTCTCTTCTCTCTCGTCCCTGCCCTCCCTCTCGTCTCCCCTGCCCCCTCTCTCTCGTCTCCCCTGCCCCCTCTCTCTAGTCTCCCCTGCCCCCTCTCTCTAGTCTCCCCTGCCCCCTCTCTCTAGTCTCCCCTGCCCTCTCTCTCTCCTCTCCCCTCTCTCTCGCTCTCTCCTCTCCTCTCCCCTGCCCTCTCTCTCTCCTCTCCCCTGCCCTCTCTCTCTCCTCTCCCCTGCCCTCTCCCTCCTCTCCCCTGCCCTCTCTCTTGTCTAACACCAGACAAAGGCTTCTCCAACACGTTACTGTCCCGGTGATGGCGGGAGGCACGATAATACATCTGTGGGAGGCACTATTTGCGGAGATTTTACCGGAGACTAGCAGGGGCTGGAGTCGCGGTGCGGCGCCCCGACGTGACTTCCAGGCTTGTTCTCCGCAAATCTAACCTGTCTCCGAACCTCCCAATGACAGCCCTGACCCTGAGAAACACTGTTCCCAAAACCGAAGGATTTAAGAATAAAAAAAGTTCAGGATGACGAGGGACACTAAAATCCCCACAGAATCCGACCTTTATGAAAGCTGTAGGTTCTCTGTCATCTGAGGTTGAGCTGTTTTTATATGCATTGAGTCCTATGGGGAAAATGTCTGGGTAGCCCATGTGAATTTAGTCTGGTCTGCAGTACCGCGAGAATCCCCGAGCACATGAGTTATTCAGCTACAAGATAGTAATACCCTATCCAGTTATTATAATAGATCCATGATGTACGTCCGTCCGCTCAACCATAGAACTACAATAATGCGCCCAACTCGAGCGCTCGGTGACATATTAATCGCGCGACACAACGAATCGATAACCAAATTTGTTGCCAACGCTTTTAATAATAATTTTTTTATCAATTCGTTGTTCCAGCCCTAGACAGGATCTGGATTACACATGCAATAATGGCCACACAATTAGGCCTGTCGCGATAGTCAATAAATCAATTAATCGCACGATAAATAAAATTTGCTCAATAACTTTTCTGGCCGCGATAAATCCCATTTGCAGCTTGTTTGTTTCCCCCGTCTCTCTCGTCAGAGAGCCGCAAAGTGGTCACGGCAACATTAGAGGTCTAGCAAGCAGACAGAAATTACTCAAAAATACAAAATACAGCCAAAACAGGACCTAAACCAGGACTTAACCAGGATCGACAATGGGGGACACAGTAGTTGTGAACATATGCCGGCAGCTGAGTTCTCATTCAGGCTTGATTAGTGACTATACTAGCGCAGCTAGCGTTAGCGTGTTCGCCGATGCAGAAGTACCGTACCGTACCAATAAAATAAACTTATGGCGCACCTCCGTGAACACATACTGCTGTTATATAAAGTCTCTAGAAGGTCTCTGAACACAGAGATGCTGCAGACTTGCATTCTTGGAGTAGAACTTTACACAAAAAAATCCGCTAGCTTAGCTGTTAGCATCAAAGCCCGCCCCGCTACTTCCGGTGGGCGCTACCGCAGCAGGACTTCTGTACGCCCCATTGGTGAACCCACATGTCAGTCACTTGTCATTCGCCTGGTGGTGTGTGGGGAGGCGGGACTACTCCTGAGAGATCCTGTCTTAAGCCACACAAAGTCAACATGTTGGTATTTCTTTCTCGTAATCTGCCATAAAGTCTGAGAAATTATTGACATTTGAGGCATCTGTTTCATATTTTCTTTACAAAGGTCCTGGCAGTTTTATTCCTGGTCATTTTTTGTTAAGAGACTTTTATTTATTGTTTTTGGTTGTTTGTTAATTTATTGTGTTCTAGCGTTAAATATTCGTTAAAAATAAAAGTTTATTTCTCTTTGAAAAGGTGTACCTGCATTATCATTGTAATCGATGCAAATTATCTCAGAACGACAATATAATCGCTTATCGCAATAATTTCTGAGACAATTAATCGTCCAGCAAAATTTGTTATCGTGACAGGCCTACACACAATTATCCATTACATGGTTTGAAAGTTGGGTCCCCTAGCTTTAATAGAAGGACACAACTGATAATTCTTTAACCAGTACCATCATCTAAACTCAAAGAGAAAAAACGGGTGGAATTCTAGTCCACAAGAAAAGGCTGCTAGATTAATTGTAATTGAAACGTTACTAGTTGTAATTATAAAATCACAAAGGCTGAAATTATTCAAGCTCTTTACAAACTATAGAAAATTAGCTTGAATTTCAGCCCCACTTCAAAATCCAAGTAAGACGACTAATAGTGCTTTGAGCCTGGTGTCCACTGCACTTGTGATCATGCGTCGGCATAGTTACGCTCAGCGGAGAGGAGGAGAGAAGGAGATTATGCTGTTGCAGCTCAAGACAAGTCCAACTTCTCCTTTACATTTAAATCATTGTCTTTTCTCTCATGGTTTGACTGTTGTCTTGAGTAGGGCTGATTAGAATTAGAGCCCTGCACTTGAGCCCTAGGCCCGAGGCGCCCGACAGCCCACGGACCGGGCTTCAGGCTGATGACCGAATAATTAACTCTGACACGGGCCGGGCACTTTTATTTATTCATTTTCAGAGCGGTAGATTACATTTACGAACGCACCAAATGACTATAGCGTTCTATCACGCTGTAGTGTTATGCCGCGTTCAGACCGGATCATGCATTGTGTCTGCATTCAAAGCGAAGTCAATGGTGACGCGCGTTAGCGCGTCAAAATGCACCGACATCTTGGCACACACGCACGGACTGCGCAGTAGAGACGCACGGACTGCGCGGGAAAGTCAAAGGGGAGGAGCAGGAGCGGAAAATGGACGCCCATGGGAGATGCTTTGCTCAACCTTTCCTCGGGACGTTCGTGCAGCAACCAATGAGAGAGCCGCAAAGTGGTCACGGGGACATTGGTGGTCTGAGCGAGCAGACTGAAAATACTGTAAACAGCCAAAACAGGAGCTACACCAGGACTAAACCAGGACTAAACCAGGGTTGACAATGGGGGACTGTGTGCTTCTGAACATATGCGTTGTCATGCTCCCGTAACTTTATGCAACTGCTTCGAGTGTGTTCGCCAATGCGGAAGCACCGTTTAATAAAATAAACGTATTGCGCACCTCCGTGAACACATACTACTGTTATATAAAGTCCGTGGAAGGTCTCTGAACACAAGAGACCCTGCAGAGCTGCATTATTGGAGAAGATCTTTACACGAGAAGCCGCTAGCATAGCTCTGTTAGCATCAGAGCCGGCCGGGTACTTCCGCCACTTCCGGCGCTGGCCAGGACGTTCTAGTGTGAAGTCCTCTGCGTCTGAAAACTAGAGAATGCGCGTCTGGTGAGCGAGGCTTCAGCGTATGAGCGTTTGCTCTTTCAGTGACGATACAGCCTTGGTCTTTCAGCAGGCGCTTCAGGCAAAGTTGGGTTAAGAGTAACTCACAACCTTCAGGCTCAAAGGCCAATGCGCGACCAACTGAGCCACTGTCACCCCCTACACCAATGACTCATTACTTAAGCTTGTATCATATTATTTACACGTGCTGTGACTGAAATTACAACATATTTAACTTTCAATGCAAACAGTTAATTTAATTTAGAATTGTTTCATGCAAAGACCCTTTTTCAGACCTTTTGACCTTTTTAATTTCTTCTTCCAAGTGCCTGAAATTGTTTTGAATTGTCAAAAATGTCTGAAATAAATTGATAAACTGAACTGAACATAATGCAATTGCGGATGAGAATTCTCGCAACATATATTATTAGTCTTTGACAGCACTGATCTTCCCCCCCCCCCAAATAGTCTTGAGATTATATTTTTTGTGATTATATGTGTGCGTTATTAGTTTAGGGCTTTTGGGAAGATGGTCTGATCCACTCTTGGCAGAAGTGCATTGGTAGAAACAATGATGCATAAAATTAAGAGAAAAAAGTCTTCTCTATGCAAAACCGTGCAGTCTCTTGTCTCATTGAGATAAAGGGGCATCTGGCCAACAGTGAAACATTATCAGTCGGGCTCTGTGAAAAGGGACACAGTAGCGGTAAAAGGTGAAAGATGTTTCAATGAGACGCAGGTTATTTGGTGATAAAACCTTCCCAAAGGTCAAACTCACAGACGGGGAATAACCTTTGAGGACAGAACAGGGTAATGAAGTTGTAAAATGGAAAACGAGAAATGATAAGCAGGTCTTTTGTCCATGTAAAAGTATGCTGGGCTTGCTCATTGTGTTTGGACAATACTTCGAAATTAGAATCAATTCTTTTTAAATCATTGAGCATGTGAAAAAGGTCAAAAGTGTGATAATCAAGGAGAGGATAATGTCTTGAGTTTCTTCTTTGGTTTTGCCTACTTTAGTTTAGCGAAATCGTACAATGCAAGCCTAAACTAGTAAAGCAGACCTCCTGGAATAAATAAAAAAAAAATAAAAAATAAGCACCAAAAGTTGATAATTTGTTCTTAACTGAAAATGGCAAAGAAAAACCGGTGCTTAGTTCACACGCTATCTTTAAAAGCTAACAGATACAATCCCGTCGGGATTACCTTAGAGGGGACAGTCCATAAAGAACAGTGCATTAACACAAAAGGAATCAAAAATGATTATATCTAATGTCTGTGGATCAAACCACAACTTTATTGTTTACCTAAAGTTTTAGTAGGAACAGCAGATTTTCAGTTGTAGCCATGGGTTGCCATTTGTCGCACTCTATAACTCAAATATTTACGTTCCAGTTCAAACCATTACTAGGAATAAGTTTACTCAAATACAGAAGAGCCATACACATGCTCACACAGCACAACGATAAGAAACTTGACCTTCACCCATTTAATCTTGCAGTTTGAATTAAGACAAAACATTATTATCGGTTTAATATTTAATTATTTTTAACACTCTGCTGTGTTTTTAGCATAATATAGTATAGTATAGTGTAGCATAGTATAGTATAATATGGTATAGTATAGCAAATAGTATTTGTTATGGCGCCACAATGGTTTTTACTACAATTACAAACAAATCAAATTAAGTTAAACATTTCTTCTTCATTAATTACCAATTCGCAATGTTTATGTATATCTATTTGGTATTGATACTGGTTAAAATTTGTATCTAGTTTTTGTAATAATTTGACATCTATATTACTCAGGACTGGAAAATTGGGACACCATGACATAACATAAGGTCATCTGAGGATATATCAAGTTGTTTACAAGTTTACTATTTCAACTTTTTATGATATATACACACAAGATAAAATTGTTCTTTTATGAAAATATTGTCCTTAGCGTGCTCTGTGTAACTAGGATGAAAACGTCAACGGATTAGCACCAAGCTAATGGGATGGAGCGTCGACCCAGTGACAAATATCAATTCAACAATTTTGAAACTAAAAACGTAAAGAATACTTGAATATTAGGCTGAAAGTGTAACAGTGTGGTGTATACACATTTAAATGGAGTTAAAACTGTAGGATCTGTAGTCCCGGTTGCTTGCGAAAGGTTAGCTGCCTGTTATCAAACGTGAAGGTCAAACTCCTCGGTACCGGGAGGATATAGGCGCATAAACCCGGGTTTGGGCGCTTACCTGCGGGGTGTACGCGGTGGCCGGAGTCGCTCCAGTCAGTTTCTGTGTGAATCCGCTGAATTTATAGTACATTTTGTCGCTGTAGGTCGCGGGTAGGTGTTAACATCCAGCGAAGCCCAGCCGCTAAGGGTCTCCTCACTGCCACCGTCGCTCAAAGGTGACGTCACAAGAGGGGCATGTGAGGCGCCTGACTGAAATGTGAGAACCAGGCTTCATCTGAATTTAGAATATTGAATACATGGAAATACATCCTTGTGAATTAAAGTTTACCATTTATAAGTCTCCAGGTTTGGTTGAGTGACTTTAAAAAGTGTTTTAATGCCACTTATGTTACAAAGAGGGGCAAGGATGGATCAAGAACAATAATAGTAATAATTGTAATAATAATAATAATAATAATAATAATAATAAGTCAGATGCAGTCCTCCTCCTAATTATTTAAAACTGTAAACATTTTCTGTTTTACTCACAATACTTCTATGTTTTCCATTGATATTATTTAATAGAAATCTCAAGGCCTTTTCAATGTACATTATTTTTTACATGCACACATTCTATGGAAAGGTTATTGACATGTACACAACTGTAATTGAATTTTATACAAGTCTTATACACATCAGGACCAAATCACTCTCCCTTTGTGATACATGCTGAGGCAGCTGAAGGCATGCGTCTCAACTGCATATTAGTTTGAGGACGCTATAATCGTATCTCTCTAAATCATGTCTCTCTAAATCATAAATGTTCATCGATCAGAATTGTTTTACCCACGTCACACTGTCCCCAATGTCAAAGAACATTAGCCCTCTGTCAACCAGGAGGAGCTCCATCAGCAGGTTGTCTGGATCTTCAAGGTATGAATTATAAACCTGTCACAGTAAGTTAGAGGTGGGTCAGCTTACACTTCATACTGACAAGTCTATACACTCTGTTATAAAAGAATATTGAAAGATTTATTTTGCATCAGTTTTGCTCTGAACAGACTATTAGGAGGAAAATGTTTGTCTATTGTCATCAACAGAACTATAGCTAAATAAATAAATGTAATAAAACTTTACAGATTCAAGATTTTGTAATTCATTTTATCCATGAGAAGTTTGAGCCAAGGCAAATAGTTTGATTGTGATAAAAATTGTATATATCACCTTATATGCCAACCAAATAAATTCATATCATTTAGGACAATTCATAAACAAACTAGTTTCCAAAGTTCTGCACAAAACTGTCGCAGAGTGGACTTTTTGTCAGTTACTTTTACCTGGTTTTATTTTGATATATTGGTTCTTTACAGTTATAATCTTTATAGATTGTGTTTCACTGTGTGTCTTTAAACCCTGTGCTCCTCTCATCTTGCTGTCAGTCCATTGCGTCTTCTTCCTGGTTTGATTTGGAATATCTGTTATATCCTGGATTTTTACATTTTCAGTTAAAAAATCTAGTATTTTTGTTTAAGAAATCTAGTATTTTTGGTTAAGAAATCTAGTATTTTTGGTTAAGAAATCTTGTATTTTTGGTTAAGAAATCTTGTATTTTTGGTTAAATCTATCATGACAAAAACAAGTTGACAGAATAAGTTGAAAATGCTCAATAAACAGGATTATTTTAAAATCTGGAAACTCAAAATACTACAAACGTAAATATAAGGCACAATGACACATAATGTATTCATACTTTGTTTGGCGGTCGTTCATTTTCCATTGATTTCTTCTCATTTGAAACCTCTATGCAAATGATCACAGAGATTATTGAGCCAGATGGCATTCTTTACTGGGTTGAGATCTAAATGTCAGTTGTGGGTGCTCGGTGTTGAATTTCATTATTGCACTTGATTGTTTAAACAAAAAGCCGCCTGTTTGAGCTGTAACCGGCTGCGATGGAAGTGTGGATGGAGACAGCACCCTTGGGAGAAACAGCGTGTGTCAGGACCATTCATACGTAGATACATTAGACTCAGGTTAGATTCCACCTCCAGACAGAGCCTTTCTGTGTGGGCTTTGCATGTTCTCCCTGTGTCTGCGTAGATCACCTCTGAGTACTCCGGTTTTCCTATACCACAAAAAACATGTACAATAGGTGAGGGTGGAGTTTTTCCACAGAACAGTAGGAATGAGGAGCACACAGCACAAGATACAGAGAGTGAACAATAACTCTAGAAATCTGTCACTTTAGCATAATAAAGAATCAAGTCGCTAACTTTAGCATCATAAAAAATCAAGTATATAATCTTTAACTTTATCATGAGTGTTTGTTTATGACTGTTTAGCTCCAAAATGAGCTACACCAATCTGGTGTATTTACATTTTCAATTCAATGACATTTATGGACATTTATCAACATGTAGGGGCATTCGTCTTTTCCCCCTTATGGACCAATTGCTGTATGTGGTTTTTATAATTAAATTTCTTGGGTTTGAACTGTTTGTCTTCTGAGATAGCTATTTTTGTGATTTAGGGCTGTACAAGAATCAATTGAAATGAATTGAACTGTCCAATCCAAGTGAAATACTTTTGGTTTCACAAAGGAGACAGATGACCCAGAAGTAGTTACCAAGCAATATAGTTATACTTAAATAGACTTGAATTCCTTCTATAGTTTTGAGAGAGCTGTAAGTGCTGTCAGCTGAACATGTGCCATTTGAACTGACATCATATAATTGAGATAATCTTCTGAACCAAAGAGTGCAGTTCGGTCTCAACAGGCATCAAGAGAAAGATTATTATTATCCAGTTAATAGATCGTTTAATCATTTGACCTCGTTCTTATCGGAGGAAGTTGGAGCACTTGGATCTCCCCAGTTTGCCATCGCGTTTCTTTAACATTACAACATTCCAAAGAGCCTCTATAGTGTAACATTCTCTTCTTTGTTCAGAGCTATTATCTCTGTAATCCCAAGGCCAATCTAAGTGAAACTAAAACAGTTATTTTCTCATAAAGCTGTCTAGAAGAGGCCCTTGAGGAATTGTAGGATGGGTCAAATGCAGAGGACAAATTGCCTTAATCTCAGAAGTGATGACAATATCCAAAAACCTGCACGATGTTGGTCAGTAGAAAAGACTTACAAATATATTTTTATTTTTTTTACAAAGCAGAAGATAATTAAATGGAAATATAGTTATCCCAGGTTTAAGTAAAAATTGTTATGAATTTGGTTTGAAAACAGTCAGAACCAATAAGTATGTCAAATATAGAACTGTATATGTCATACGATTTTATAATTAAATTGATTTATAGCCAAAAAGACTAGAACGTGATAATATGGCATGAAAAAAAGTGTGGATATGGAAGTCTGGACGTCTCTCCTGAGAATGCTGGGCCATGACCCGGCAATGGATAAAGAGGAGAAAATTGGACGGATGGATGGAATAAAAACGCAATATGTATGTTTTTGGATAGACCCATTGACCTGCAGGGATTGGTCCATTCCTTTATTGGTCCATAAGAAACCATGTGGTAGAAGCTGACCATAAATCAGCATCTCAAAGCTACATCACTGGTGTATATTACATTAACAGCATTTACATGAAACTGAAACCAGCCTGAATCTATCCATCTCTAATCCGTACGTTCATTTATTCTCGCTATAATAATCTCTTCATCTAAGGAGATCATTAATAAACCATTAGATATTTATGTCCATTAGTTTAATAAAAGAAAAGGTGATTAGACATGAATCCAGAACATTTCTCAGTGATTACCACATTTACCAGTCCGTACGAGAACGAGCTGAGGGATGATTCCAATAAAGAACAGTTTGACAAATGCAAGGAGCTGCTTTTGAGAGAAGAAAATGTGATTAAATTTGAGAGAGATTTCAGTGTTGTAGCGCACATATAGGAGAGTAGTAAGTACAATGAACAATTAACTTCAGCCAGATGATGTGGTTTGCTGATTTTTGAGTTTTCTCATCATTAACATAAAGTATTGTTTGTGTTCATTTTGGCCCTGAAACATGATCTTGACAATATTTACTTGTGAATAACATTGTAAATAATGTCGTTATTATTATCAATCATTAATATCTATTTTTATTTTGATATGTGTATGTGTGTATGTGTGTGTATGTGTATGTGTATGTGTATGTGTATGTGTGTCTATATATGTACACTTTGCACTAAAACTAAAATCTGAAATAAAAATAAAAAACTGCACACACACACACACACACACACATACGCACACACACGCGCACACACAGACACGCACACACACACACACACTCACGCACACACACACACACACGTGCGCACACACACACACACACCCGCACACACACACACACATTCACGCACACATACACACACACACACCCGCACACACACACACACTCACACACACACACACTAACAGGAGGATATTTTTTAACATATCGTTTGAATAGCTTTTTTAGTTTTTTGTGTGGCTGTTTGATGTTATTACACAGTTCAATAGTTTGTGGTGTGAAAGTTAGGTACCCTAGCTTTAAATGCAGTGGGAGTATTTGAGGATGATTGATTGAATGAGAGAGATCTGCAGAAGTCGGTGATAAAACATGTGACAAAAGGAAACGGAGAGAAAGGGGGTGGGGACCGAGCGAGACCGCCGTGTGGGAGGTGTTTGTTTGGATCAAATCTTTTTTGGCAAATATCGAGACATGAAAACACTTCATCAAGTCTGTTCTTTCTCTCCATTCACTCTGCGACTTTTATCATCTTGTATTTTTAGACCGGAATTCATAACCGTGTCTGTAGACGGGACAAAAATATGTTCATGAGTCAAGATGTTTATACTTTTATTATCAGGAGATTAATCTGTAGGTATTGTGTGTTCTGATCCTCTGGACGTGGAGGAGCAGCCAAACCTCTCCACTTCTCTTTCCCATGTCTCCTCTCTCCTCTCTCTCCTCTCCTCTCTTTCCTATCTCCTCTCACCTCTCTCTCATCTCTCTCCTCTCCTCTCTTCTCACCTCTCTCTCCTCTCTTTCCACTCTCCTCTCTCATCTCTCCCCTCTTTCCTATCCCTCTCTCTTCTCTCCTCTCCTCTCTCCCCTCTCCTCCTTTTTCACTTTTTCATCATTCACATATGAATAATACATA